GTATAAATACACATATATATAAGAAGGTTCCTGTTCTCAAGAACTTTATAGTTTAACAAAGGATACATATTTTTACTATCAAAGCAATTGCTCTATAATCTAAGTGCATGATGTTAGAAGCAGTTAGTACTATAAGAGCATATAAAAAAGATCTGGAGATTTCTGCTTCTGCTATGATAGAATAGCATATTTGGACCAATCTTCCCACCAAGAACATGTATAAAAACTATATAAAAAATTTTTAAGAAAAGAAAGAGAATAACTAAGACAGCCAGGATTCTGGGCACTAAGATCCTAAAGGAAAGTAAACCACACAGAAGTAAAACTGGAATTCTTCACTATATTTTTCCTCAAAGGATTTACTAATTCCTAAGCCAGGAGTGAGGTGGGATGAGCGCTACAATGGTACAGGAAGCAAAGAAGCCACTCATTTAAAAAGGGTAGCTAAGAAGTTAATGAAATAAGCAGAATTTTCATCAGTTTTGTGAGTTTAGGACCTGTTATAGAGGAGGGGTCCTGGTAAATAACTCAGGCTTTCAGCTTAAACCCTTGAAGGGATGTACTGTAGGAATAAAGACAAACTGGAGATAAACTAGCCTTCACAGAGACTGAAATCCAGCATCAGACTATCTCAATCCTTGATTATATCAAGATGATTTGAGTTTCCCTTAATTGCCAGAAGACCTCAAATTCTTTTTGGAGTAATATATCATTGTCCAAAGCCTTTTCATCTTTTCATACCTAACATTTGGGCTTCAATTTGAAAAGTTATCAGACATGCCATAGGTAGAGCAAAATGACTAAAAATTAAGATAGGAAACAATTGATAAGGTAGACCTAAAAATGATGCTGATATTTATATTGTCCCACATGGACTTTAAATAATGATTACATGTTTAAGAAAAAGGGATGAGAAAATGGGGAATTTAATTAGAAAATGAATCTATTCATAAGAATCAAATGGAAATTTTAGAAAAGGGATAGAAAATATGGAAAAGAGCATAAAAGACACGTGAGATATGACAAAAGGTCAAACATATATGTAAATGAAGTCTAAGAAGGAGAATGGGGAGAGAGAGTGAGCAGAATCAATATTTAAAATATTGGTGGAGATATTTTCAAAATCAATAAAAGACATCAAGCCAGTGGTGGCTCACACCTGTAATCCCAGCACTTTGGAAGGCCAAGACAGGTGGATCACAAGATCAAGAGGTCGAGACCAGCCTGGCCAATATGGTCAGGTGAAACCCCGTCTCTACTAAAAATACAAAAATTAACCAGTCATGATGATGCACACCTGTAGTCCCAGCTGCTTGGGAGGCTGAGGCAGAAGAATCACTTGAATCCGGGAGACGGAGGTTGTGGTGAGCTGAGATCATGCCACTACACTCCTGCCTGGGTGACAGAGTGAGACTTCATAAAAAAAAAAAAAAAAAAAGACATCAAGCCAGAAATTCTAGGACCTCTAGTAATCTCAAGCCGGATAAATAAAAGAAACCATACCTAGGTAATCAGCAACACTACTGAAAACCAAAGATGAAGAGAAAATTTTACCAGAAGGATGTATTAACATCAAAGGACCCAATAATAAAACTAACAAATGATTTACATGGAAATGATGGAATCCAGAAAGCAATGGACTGGGATTTGTAAACTGCAGGAAAAAAAAAATACTGCCAATAGGCAACTGTATAGACATCAAAAATTTACTTCAAAAATGAAGGTGGAATAAAGACAATTTCAGCCAAACAGAAACTGTGCAGACCTAGACTAAATAGTTTTTTAAGGTAGAAGGACTATGGAAGCATGGAAATGCAGAAAGAACTAAAGAGGGTTCACATGTCAGCAAATGTAAATAAGTGTTGATTGTGTAAAATAATAATGTCTTGTGAGGCTTAAAATATAAATACTATGCAGTGAATATGTCAAGTATATATTATCAATATGTGTAGAAAATATATACAATAAATCAATAAATATACTTAAAATATACACATATACATGCACACACGTATATACTTAAAGTGTATATAACGTATATACGCACAACAGCATAAAAAGTAGAAAGGCATAAATTGAGTTGTTATGTTTTAAGGTTCTTGTATTGTCTGGGAAGTGATTTTTAAAAACCCAATTCTGAGTAAACTGTAATAAGTCAACGATGTATACTGTAATCTCTAAAATAACTACTAAAATAATAATAAAAGAATATGTTACAAGCTAATAGAGGGGAAAAATGTTAAGTAAAAAATATTTCATGAATCCTAAGGGAGGTATGGAAGAAGAAAAAAGGAAACAAAATAGAAGTGACAAATAGTACAGTGATAGTTTTAAACCCAAATATAACAGTAACCATACTACATGTAGGCCAAGTGCGGTGGCTTATACTCGTAATCCCAGCACTTTAGGAGGCTGAGGCAGGCTGATCACTTGAGGCCAGGAGTTCGAGACCAGCTTCACCAATGTGATGAAATCGGTCTCTACAAAAATTAGCTGGGTGTGATGGCATGTGCCTGTAGTCCCAGCTACTCAGGAGGCTGAGGCACGCAATTGTTTGAACCCAGGCGATGGAGGGTGCAGTGAGCCGAGATGGCACCACTGCCCTCCAGCCTGGGCAACAGAGTGAGACTCTGTCTCAAAAAAAAAAAAAAAAAGAAGAAAGAAAGAAAAGAAAAATTATACTAAATATAAATAGACTGAATCCTTCAGTTAAATATTGTCATTCTGGATTTTTTAAAAAACAGCTAATCATATGCTGCTTATAAGAGACATATCTTAAATATAAAGACATAGCAAACTGAAAGTAAAAGATTTGAAAAGTTATAATGAAATATAGCTGGTGTAGCTATATTGATATCAGAGTTTTTTTTTCTTTTTTTATAATACATGTTTTATAATCCCAACTTTTTCTTTTCTGAGACAGAGTTTCACTCTTATTGCCCAGGCTAGAGTGCAATGGCATGATCTTGGCGCACCGCAACCTCCACCTCCTGGGTTCAATCAATTCTCCTGCCTCAGCCTCCCGAGTAGCTGGGATTACAGGAGTGTGCCTCCATGCCTGGGTAATTTTGTATTTTTAGTAGAGACAGGATTTCTCCATGTTGGTCAGGCTGGTCTCGAACTACCAACCTCAGGTGATCCACCCACCTAGGCCTGCCAAAGTGCTGGGATTACAGGCATGAGCTACCGTGCCTGGCTTTATAATATATTTTTATGTAGACAAATAGAGAAAACTAAAATAAAAAAGATTACGAGACATTAGGAGGGACATTTTATTATTTTAAATGAGTTAATTCATCAGGAATATGTAACCTTTACAAATTTATTATATCTAATAACCTAAAATATATATATATATATTAATAATCAGTTTTTCATTTAGTTCCCCAGTCTTGGGAGTTCAGAGGAGGCTGAGAAGATGACTGAGACCAAGATAAGGGTGGGATAGACTGCAGGGTAGAAAGAGAATTCAAGGCAGAAAGAAGAACGTTTTCAAAGACTAGAGGCGAGAGCTTAAAAAACTGGGCAGATTCGGTAGTTCATGCCTGTAATCCTAACACTTTGAGAGGCCAAGGCGAGTAAAACAGAAACCCAGTCTCTCCTAAAAATACAAAAATTAGCTGGACATGGTGGCACACATCTGTAATCCCAGCTACTTGGGAGGCTGAGGCACAAGAATGGCTTGAACCTGGCAGGCAAAGGTTGCAGTGAGCCATACCACTGCACTCCAACCTGGGCAACAGAGTGAGACTCTGCCAAAAAAAAAGAAAAAAAGAAAGAAAGAAGGAAGGAAGGAAAGGGAGGGAGGGAGAACAGTGTAGTCTGATGATGTAAGATTGATAGGAATGTGACTGGGTGGAAAGAAGATTGTTGGATAAGAACAATGATTGGGGGGCTAGAAAATACAGGAATCTTTGATATTTAAAAGATGACACTTTTTCCTAAAAATCAGCAAGTTACTAAAGTGTTATATAGTCACTTGATCAAATTTGTCTCAGAGGATCTCTCTTAATACTGTGGGAGGAATGAATTGGAGGACGGTGGCACTACTAGCAAGGAGACCTATTTCAGTAATCTCAGTGAGATGATGTTGGCTGAGGCTGTAGAGATAGAGAAGAGAACACATTTGTAAAATAAAACTATCTCATAGCTTGTGAAATATTTAAAATGTAGGCAGGTTACTGGACTTAGATTACCAAACGAAAAAAAAAAATAGTAATAGACCTAGATTTGTATTATTTAAGAGAAATTTTAAGGACCGTAATTTTTTTCTTTTTGTCTACAATACCAGCTGCAGCGCCGTGTTATATTCCATTTCCAAAGATCAGATTTTGTAATATCACTGTGGGTTGGTCATAGCCACAGGTTAGTTTTAATACTAGAATATAAAGTTGGAGCAGTTAAACTCCCTTGACTTTCTGTTTTAGAGTTTCCTCCCTGTTTTTCGTTTTAGTTGAGCTATTTAGATTTGACAGATCTAAATACTCTGTGGGCATATGTTTAAGTTTCTCTTCAAGGAATGTATATGGCTTTAAGATCATTAAGCCAAATGATGTAGGACACATACGTGAAGTTTCCTTGCCCAGGCACAACTTAAGACATATTTGTTAACATCCTTTCTCAGACATAAAATTCTCTCTTAGAAGAGAGATAGTAACTCATCAGCTAATGATATTATACATTAATGCAGTTGTTTAGTTTTTGCCTAACTTCCCCTACCAGAATGTACTTTCAGTGAGGACAGGGACAGGGACGTTGTCTCTTTTGTTCAAGGCTGTATCCCCCTGCACCTAGATTGGTACTCATCATATATACCAGGTGTTAAGCAACTATTTATTGAAAGAATGAATGAAGAATGAAGGAATATTTGTGTTAAGCAAATCAACTTGACTAAAAGACAGATGTTTCTTTTCAATTTTATAAATTAATGTTCACTTAAAGTGTTGAAAGTCTAATATTAAAATGTTTGAAAGTAAAGTGATTATTTTTAATGTTTGCAGGACTATCTCAAGCAGGTGCTGGACATTGATCTTCATGCTCAGATCCATTTTGGCAGGGTTTTTATGAAACCAGGGTATGAAAATAATCTTGTTATCTCATATATGGGGTTGGTTTGGCTTGCTTTAACTAACGAACTTTTAAATGCCTTCTTTTTACGTTTTCTACTATGAATTAACTACACAAAAAAAAAGAAATATAGTATTAGGATCCTTTGCATAAGCGCAGCTCCTAATGAAATAGGCATTCATCTTCTTTATGAGTCAGTGAGTTTGGTCTAAACAAAACACAGCAACTTTCCAAACTTTTTCTCCTTTTTAATTCTCATGCCTAGTTCCTTCTTCCTCTTTTTCCCCCCACACTGCTTCTTTATTTTAAAAAATAATTAATATGGGAACTTTCAAATATACAAAAAAGTAGGGAGTACAACAAACCCCATGTACGCATCACCCAGCTTCAATAACTATCAACATTTTTCTATTTTTTTTTTTTTATCAATACCCCTACCCCACCCTGCCTTTTAGTGGAGAGAGGGGGCTGGATTGTTTAAAAGCAAATTCTAGGCATGTCATTTTGGCATACCTCTGAAATAATAATACTAACAACATTATTCTCTTACATAATCACAATGTTATTTTCTCATCTAACAAAATAAATATTTTCATATCATCTAATATCCTGATCATATTCAAGTTTCTCCCACATATCAAGAGAAAGAATGCCTTTTTATAAGTTTTGTTTCATAAGGATTCCATTGAGGTCCACTCAGTGTATTTGTTTAAGCCTCTATTAAATGAGAACATTTTCTGCCCCCACTCTTTGTTGTTGTGCCACTGACTTGCTAGAGAAAATGGATCACGTGTCCTGATAAATGTATTCGGTTTATTACTTCCTTAGGTATGTTCCTCTGTCACTGATACATGCTATAGATTGAAAGATATAAAGGCTTGATTAAATTCAGGTTTAATTTTTTTTCCTTTGCAAGAATGTTTCGTTAAGTAGGCTTTCACACTGCATCCTACTGTCTCCCAGGAGGAAAGAAAAATAACCATGATTTTTCACATCTCTTAAAGACTAATAACCCCTAAAGAAGATGGAGATTTTGAAGTCAGTTATAAATCCTCAAAGGCTGCCAAATTTTGGTGTTGGTGAAACATATATGGCCATATCTTTAAGAAACAGTCTATCTGTTTAGACCTTTGCTACTCTATTAGCCTATGATTTCTTGTTCAAAGACCTCAACTGTATGGCTGAGAGTTCCAGCACACCACACCCCATGTTGTCGGGAACAACACTAATGATGCTTTACTGCTAATTAAACCTAGGAGGGGATGGAGTAGGGGCTTCCCAATTGTTATAAGTGAGCTATGGGAACCAGCAACAAATTTCAAAAGCCTTTAAAGTGTCAAGCTAGCCCTCCTAATAAGTCAGTTCTAGGACAGAGATCAGGCTTTACCTCCATGATTTGGCCATTTTTAGTATAGAACTAAGATTATCCCTAAAGCTTTGTCCACAGTTTGATAAAATTCTTGGCAATATATTTCTGTAGTTTCCTGTCGAGCGTGCCCCAATATGGCTGCTGCTGACAGGGCCTTTTTTATTATTGAAACTGTTGGATTTGGGCTGGGCATGATGGCTCATCCCTGTAATCCCCATCACTTTGGGAGGCCAATGCAGGTGGATTGAACTCAGGAGTTCCAGACCAGCCTGGGCAACATCATGAAACCCCGTCTTTATAAAAAGTACAAAAATTAGCCAAGCGTTGGTGGCTCGTGCCATTAGTCCCAGCTACATGGGAGGCTGAGGCCGGAGAATCGCTTGAGCCTGGGAAGCAGAGGTTGCAGTGAGCTGAGATTACGCCACTGCATTCCAGCCTGGGTAACAGAGTGAGACCCTGTCTCAAAAAATAAAAAAGAGAGAAAGAAAAGAAAGAAACTATTGGATCTAGATCATTCTTATCAATAATATTTTGAGCCCGGGCACGGTGGCTCACATCTGTAATTCCAGCACTTTGGGTGGCCGAGACAGGCAGATCATAGGTCAGGAGTTCGATACCAGCCTGGCCAATATGATAAAACCCAATCTCTACTAAAAATACAAAAATTAGCCAGGCGTAGTGGTGTAAGCCAGTAGTCCCAGCTACTCAGGAGGCTGAGGCAGAAAAATCACTTGAACCTGGGGGGTGAAGGTTGCAGTGACCTGAGATCACGCCACTGCACTCCAGCCTGGGTGACAGAGCAAGACTCGATCTCAAAAAAAAAAGAAGAATATTTTGTCTTAGCAAATATTATTATGCTATTGGGTATACCTGTTTTTTTTTTTTTTCTGAGCCAGTGGGCATTACTAATTTGATTAGAATACAGAGGATATCCCAAAAGCATATGAATGTGCTTCTCAAAACCTCACAAATTGCATTGGGCTGAGTGCAGTGGCTCACACGTATATTCCCAGCTTATATTCCCAGCTTATGGCACTTTGGGAAGCCATGGGGCTTAAGCCCAGAAGTTGGAGACCAACCTGGACAACATGGCAAAACCCCATCTCTACAAAAAATACAAAAATTAGTCCCAGCTATTTGGGAGGCTAAGGTGGGAGGATCACCTGAGCCCAGGAGGTGGATGTGGCAATGAGCCATGATAGTGCCGCTGCACTTCAGCCTGGGCAGCAGAGTGAGACCCTGCCTCAAAAAAATAATAATGAATAATTGATGTTTCGTTTGCAGAGGGAAAGAAGCAAACATAACTTGCACTCACCTCTAGAGAAATTATTATATAGTATCTATTATTTAAAATATTCTCAGTGCCTGTGATGATAACTTTTATACCCTTTTTTTCAATCTGTTATTTACCACTCACTTCAACTTTAGCAGTTCATCAATTCCTAATGTTTAATTTTTTCCCTTAAAATCAGAACACTCTGTGACCTCAGCCATTGTGTAAATGCTGTTACAGTCTGATCTAAAGTGGAGAACTGAATAATAGGTTGAGTTCCAAGGAAATGGCTTCTAGAGCTTAAACAGAAAATTCACAGTTTAGCAATAGGACATTTATGATAGCAATGCATAATAACAAAATATTTTTTGTAATGGAATCCTATTTAAAATGAATACCTTTACAGAAATTACATTACCTACCTGCAAGATGCAAAAGATTGCTTAAACTGGCCCTATGATTTAAATGGGCTTTAAATACAGTGGAAGGAAGAAACTGTTATACACTCTCTCCTCGTTATTATCTGTGGGTTTGCTAAAATAAAGTAGTTTCAGAGTTTGAATGGGCTTCTTTTAGTTCACCAGAATTTTATACTTGTCTAAAGGTAATAAGAACTTTAAGGTAATTGCTACTTAATATTAGAACAAAAAGAAATACAAACCAAACAAATACAATTTGGCTTTGCTATTTCCACATAACAGTTCTTTCAGAATGCAATTAAGCTCTTTCATTTTAGAGACAAAGGTACTCAGAAAAGCCTCTGGAGTATTAGCAACCAGACCTACCAATTACTATTTTTATTGGGTCATCTACAGTGAGCATAGCTGTTATTAAGAACAAATCTTTGAAATTATTTTCATCACACATAACTAATAATTATCAAATAACTTATCCATAAATCAGTATCAAAACCTAATCTCAGCCAGGTGTGGTGACTCATGCCTGTAATCCCAGCACTTTGGGAGGCTGAGGCAGGTGGATCACCTGAAGTCAGGAGTTCGAAACCAGCCTGGCCAACATGGTAAAACCCTGTCTCTGCTAAAAATATAAACAAAACAAACAAAAAATCGAATCTCATTTTTCTAAAACACAGCAAAGAATCAAGAAGTATGCAAAAACAAACAAAAATAGCCTCGGAATAGCCAAAATAGGTGTCCAAAGATCATATACTATCACTACATAATCATCTTGTCAGATCTTTATCCAAATATAAGCTTAAGTTAGAACAACCTTAGTTCAAATCTGTTCCCCCACTTAGTAGCTGAGTGACTTGGACCACATTGCTTAATCTCTCTGAATCTCAGCATTTCCTCATATATAAAGTGGGATAATAATTGTTACTTTATAAGCTTGTTGTGAGACTTAAATGAAATAATGAATGTGATGCATAGATGTTACTTTAAAAATAGATATTTTAGTCAGCACCAGTGGCCCACACATATAATCTCAGCACTTGGAGAGGCTGAGACTGGAGGATCGCTTGAGCTGAGGAGTTCAAGGCCAGCCTGGACAACATAACGAGACCTCATCTCTACTAAAAATAAAAAAATCAGCTGAGCATGCTGGTGCATGCCTTTAGTCCTAGCTACTTGGAAGGCTGAGGCTGGAGGATTACTTGAACCTAGGAGATTGAGACTGCAGTGAGCCATGGCCAAGCCACTGCACTGCAGCCTGGGTGACAGAGCCAGACCTTGTCTCAAAAAATAAATAAAAACATATATTTTTATTGTTACTGTACATTATTTTCATCCTAAAAATATCACTATTGCTACTATTCTCCGGTTCTCAAACTTAAAACCACCTTTAATGGTCAAGATGATAGCAGTCTCGTATTACAGGATTCCACAGGAAAAAAAAAAATTGGGGAAGGAAGGAATAAAAAAACAGAAACAAGAAACAAGAACTACAGAAACATAACAATGTGGGTTTATGGCTTCTGGGTGAAAACAATCTATAGTATTCTTGTGACCTAACATCACTGTACTACAGCAGAGTAGAACACATTAATAATGATGGCTATAAATCATCAAAGAGTCAGTGTCACCATATTATTGCAAAAGGTAATGGGTGATCTATTTTTGAAAGCTCGACCTGCAAAAAAGTAAAAATAAAAACAATTTGAGTGCTTAAAAGGTTAATATTTCATCTGTGTGAAAATTTCAGTATTCCCTAACAATTCCACATTGCTTAAGTTTCATTAATACAATGAGATTTTTTGCTAAAATTCTATATAAAGGGTAATTAATAGGAAAAAAAAAAAACAGTATTCTCAACTGCCCACTCTATGCCACTCACTCCTCCCACCCCACCTCCCATGATAAGAGTTCATGTCAAAATCTTGAGGAAGTATAATTTGAGAATATTTTAAAATTACTATTAATTTCATTCTAGTCATATTTAACATTTCAAAAATAATGTCCTGATAAGAAGTGTTTATGTCTATGCTAAGGATAGTTTTTAAAGGCTAACACAGAAGGAGCAGGATTGAAAGAAAAAAGTTAATACTCATCTTGAACAAAGGCAACTATCTAATAGACATATTATCAGTTAGTCTTCTGCTTTTAAGAATGATTGTTGTAAATCGCCAGCAAAAGTAGTATAAACATTATTGACTAGAGGGGTGGGAAAACTTGAAAACTCCAAGATTTGGAGTCCATTTCTATGGCACTGACAAGAAGAAAAAAAAGCAGGCTGATTTTCTTTAAGCCAGAAAGTGTGGTTACTTGAAAACAGAAAATGCTAAAAACAAACCTATTTAAATGTCTATGAAATACTGCAGAGTATAAAGATGTAAAGACGAGTCAACAGAAAGGTGTTTTTTATATATGTGTATAGATTACAAAAAAACTAGAGTACTTAATGTCTTCATCATAATGCTTAGCAATCACTAACAAGTGACTTTTTTTTTCTAGCTTGCCAACAACCTTTGCAACTTTGGATATTGATGGTGTAAGAAAAATAATCTTTGCACTACCTGGTAAGAATAACAGATTGTTTCCTTTGCTTTTTCTGGAAAAATAGCCAAAACTTTTTTAACTTCTCATGTGACCAGTACCCTATTAGATCGCTTGGTTTGAAATCTGAAAGACCTGGGCTCTAGTCTCAGCTTTTCTAAATGACCAATCAAACTCTGAGGAGGTTTCTTCACCTATAAAATAAAACTAATATCTACTTCATAGGGTTGGTGTGAAAGTCAGATCAGATTATATATATCAAAGCACGTTCCAAATCCTAAGATGATAATCAAGTATTAGCTGTCACTAGATCTTTCTGGGGCACCTGCTTTTTCCTTACAGGAAATTGGTCAAAGTTAGCAGTCTAATACCTCTCATAACCAGAAGTATTGTGCTCTAGAGGCCAAAGGGCCTTGAGTCACCCATGCAAATACCAAATCAAAAAATATAAAGCTGCCTCTGGTCCTTGCCAGATTTGGGGTGGTTGAGGCTCCGGAGAGGGAAGAGGAAAGGCCAGGCTACTAGAACTAGTGCTTCTCAGCCAAATCCACTCATCATCAGTCTGCAACTTCCCCATTCCCACCCTTGCCTCAACATGAGCAGAAACTCACATGTTCAGATTATAGAAAAAGCAAAGTGGTTGAGTTCATGAGGATTTTTAAATTCAAATTTTTAGTCATTTGGGGTTATACATTTAAAGTCATGATGAATCTTGATAAATTTTAAGAGTTTAAAAGTTTTGTGCATCTATTTGTTATTTTTTTAACTTTTAAAATTATCCTCTGATCATTCCATTCAGTCCTCTATTGTTTGGCACAGATTCCTTTAGAAAATAACCTACTTGGCCGGGCGCGGTGGCTCAAGCCTGTAATCCCAGCACTTTGGGAGGCCGAGGCGGTTGGATCACGAGGTCAAGAGATCGAGACCATCCTGGTCAACATGGTGAAACCCCGTCTCTACTAAAAATACAAAAAATTAGCTGAGCATGGTGGCACGTGCCTGTAATCCCAGCGACTCAGGAGGCTGAGACAGGAGAATTGCCTGAACCCAGGAGGCGGAGGTTGCGGTGAGCCGAGATCGCGCCATTGCACTCCAGCCTGGGTAACAAGAGCGAAACTCCGTCTCAAAAAAAAAAAAAAAAAAAAAAAGAAAATAACCTACTTATGTCGGGGCGCAGTGACTCATGCCTGTAATCCCCGCACTTTGGAAGGCCGAGGTGGGCGGATCACCTGAGGTTTGGAATTTGAGACCAGCCTGGCCAAACATGATGAAACCCCGTCTCTACTAAAATCACAAAATTAGCCGGGTATGGTGGGGCATGCTTGTAATCCCAGCTACTGGGGAGGCTGAGGCAGGAGAATCCCTTGAACCTAGGAGACGGAAGTTGCAGTGAACCAAGATCGTGACATTGTACTCCAGCCTAGGCAACAAGAGCAAAACTCCGTCTCAAAGAGAAAAGAACCTACTTATTTCTTTGAGATTTACAAATCTCATGGCTTTAGGTTACTTATTTGCTTTTTATGTCAAGTAAATCTCAAAAGGGAGATGCAAAGAAAGGGAAGCAGGCAGAAAAATGTTAAACTTTAAAAACATTTTAAGCCCCTATATAAGCATAAAAGAGATTCGATTTCTATCATATAGACAATTTTAAGAGAGAGGACATTTAAGTAAAATAGTCCTCAGATGGTATCTGTGACATGAAACTCCTTAGGACCTTTCATAATTCCTGTGGATGCTCTGATCGCCATTATATAAAGAAATGTGCTCCTTTCCCTGGCTTCATTTTGCCTGGAAGAGACTCTTTTGTCTACAGAAGATATGATTTAAACTTCAGACCACCAGTGATAGTATAACAAAGAATATTATTGTGGGAACCTGTTTCACCATTATGCCAAAAATGTTATAAAATTAAAACCTATTTTCAAATTCGTACTTTTAATTTGAAACCTTAGCTGCTCAGCCTGAGTGAACCAACAGAGGGCAGCAGAAACTCACATGTTCAGATTGTAGAATGTGCAGAGGTTCAGTTTACAAGGATTTTCTTTTTTTTCTTTTTTTTTTTTTTTTTTTTTTTTTTTTTGAGACAAAGTCTAGCTCTGTCACCCAGGCTGGAGTGCAGTAGCACAATCTCAGCTCACTGCAACCCCTGCCTCATAGGCTGAAGCCATTCTCCCACCTCAGCCTCCCAAGTAGCTGGGACTACAGGCTCTTGTTACCACCCCTGGCTAACTTTTATATTTTCTGTAGAGACGGGGTTTCATCATGTTGCCTTTGCTGGTCTCAACTTCTGAGCTCAAGCGATCTACCCATTTTGGCCTCCCAAAGTTTTGAGATTACAGGCATGAGCCACTGTGTCCAGCCTTAAAAGGATTTTCAATTTCAAAAGTGTATTTCTGCTTTCCTGCAGGCCATGCATTTAAAGCCATCCCTAATCTCGACAAGTTTTAAATCAAAGTTTTACGTATTTGCTTTTTTTTTGACATTTTAACACTGCTCAAGTGACACATGCTCACTATTTTAAAAGTTAGAAAATATAGATAAGCATAAAAAAATGTTAACTATAATCTCCCAACACATAGGTAGATAACAACTATTACAAGTTTTCGATATCAATCCTTCCAGTCCTTTTTCATACATAGCAAGACCCTGCTTCTAAAATAATTAGAGCAATTCATTTTTTATACAATAATTTTATAAAGTAGTAGTATTATAAAGAGTTTATAATCATTGATGAACAATGGCTTTTTTATATGTTTGTTTGGGTTTTTTGTTTTGCTTTTCCAGGAAAAAAAAATTCTATCTCCTTGTATTTTGAGGCAAGGGAAAGTAACTGATTTTTCCATTGAAATTATTAGTATCACTTGTCACTTTTTGGACCTTAAAAATCTATTCTTAACTGCTTTTGTAGGTAAGAGAGAATTGTATATATGATTCAAGCTAATAATAGGCTAAACTGACCATTGCCTTTTAACTTGACGATGCAATAAGCAGTATTTAGCCATGCCAAGGAAACCTAAAAATCTAGTATCCCATTCCCCACTCCAGGATATACACATTCATACTTACATAGAACTGTATAAAAGTATGAAAACAACTGGAATTTTAGAACCAGAAAAGATCTTGAGACTCATGTAGTCCAACCTTTCATTTCATAGATGAGTAAAGTTAGAATCAAAAAACTCTGCAACTTGCCAAGATCACACAGCTTGGTTAGATAACAATGCCACACAAGAAATCAAATCTGTTATATACAGCCCAGTGGTTGTTTCTTCACAGCCCACCCTTCCTCTTTTGAAGTATATGACACACCTAGATTTCTTCTTGGAAGGATATAGTGGAATTCCTCAAATTCTTCTCATAACTTTAAAAGAATTTGGTATTTGTATTAGTCTATTCAGGCTGCCATGACAGAATACCACAGACTGGGTAGCTTAAACAACAGAAACTTATTTTCTCACAGTTTGGAGGATGAAATTCCAAAATCAAGGTACCAGCAAGGTTGGCTTCTAGTGAGGCCTCTCTTCCTGGCTTGTAGACAGCAATGTTTTAGTGAAAACTCCTGGTGTCTCTTTCTCTTTTTATAAGGACACCAGTCCTATTGGACTGTGGCCACACCCTTATGACCTCATTTACCTTAATTACCTCCATAAAGGCCCTATCTCCAAATATAGTCAATCATATTGGAGTTATAACTTTATTATATGAATTCAATCCATAACAGTATTCATCTCCAGGTTCTTAAGACACATTTTAAATCATTTGGCTTTACTTTTTTTTAATTTAAAGAAACACCTAGGCAGAGAAGATTATAAATAAGTTTCCTTATGCTTATTTATATTTTTTCATTTTTGATACCAAGCTTGTAATATTATAATTTTTAAATGCTTAAAAAATAGCAAGTAGATATATAAAACTTTTAAATGGCTTTAAGACAAGATAAGTAATGGCTTTCAACTGGCTCTGAGGAAAGCAGAAACAAATGGTATTAAACAGCTTCTGGGCATCAGAATTCTCCATTTTACTGAAAGACCCAAATGTTTACATCCCCTGTAGCATTTAGTTGACTATATATACCTCTGTTCTGGTTGGATTCAAGGCCATTCAGAAGAGGGAAAATAGTGCCTAGTCACTTCTGTCACATTCTAATACCAGAAGATATAGACGAACATAATTATTTGGCAAATTCTTACACACTGTATTATAAATAACTGCTTGGTTGACTTTCAGGGAATCCTGTATCAGCTGTGGTCACCTGCAATCTCTTTGTTGTGCCTGCACTGAGAAAGATGCAGGGCATCTTGGATCCTCGGCCAACCATCATCAAAGCAAGGGTAATGTTTTCTAATGACCAGAAACCAAAATCGAAGCCTGATAACAGTTAGGGATACGATTTTCTAACTGCCCAAAATAAATATCTAGAGTTTTATGTTAGTTTTGATGAAAAATGTGATTATATTCTCCCCTGTGTACTAGAAAATGTAGAGGAAAGGGTCCCTTTTATTCTCTTTCAGGACGTCTAAAGTGAATAATTTTATTTTTTATGTATTTATTTATTTATTTATTTATTTATTTAGAGACGGAGTTTTGCTCTTATTGCCCAGGCTAGAGTGCAGTGGTGCAATCTCTGCCCACTGCAACCTCCACCTCCTGGATTCAAGCAATTCTCCTGCCTCAACCTCCTGATTAGCTGGGATTACAGGCACCCATCACCATGCCCAACTAATTTTTTGTATTTTTTAAGTAGAGACAGGGTTTCACCATGTTGGTCAGGCTGGTCTTGAACTCTGACCTCAGGTGATCCGCCCACCTCGGCCTTCCAAAGTGTTGGGATTACAGGCATGAGCCACCGTGCCCAGCCTAAAGTGAATAATTTTCTCCAGATAGAAATCCATATACGAATCCAGCAAGTATGGCTTAAAAACTTGAGTGATACCTAAGGACAAAACAGTCAATAGGATTTATCTGGCACTACTCTATCACTAGACCTGTCAAGAACAAGAGAAAACTCCCTTTTTCCCATGCAAACTCATAGGGACAGCAATTAACCTGCTCACTTTATGTGACTTCAATGATAAACTTTTAAAAATTCAGAAGACAAAGGACTAGAGAGAGACTCTGATGATTCAGCAGCGAAAAGGTAACCATATTATTTAGAAGGGATTGCTAAGGCTGAGAAATATTATACTATGGTAAAAGTCTCTTGGAAATTAGGTCTCCTTCTCCGTCAACACTAACTTCAATGTGATTTACTACTACTCAATTAATTATGTTATACACTTTCTATGTGACTAATGAGTAATGTCCTTAGCAATATAAACTACAATACCAAACCATTACTTTCCAAGAGTTCCAAAATAAAATCAGATATGGCAGAATGCAATGATTAGTTGATAGGAAGAACAAAAAACATAGAAGATACATTAGGCCAGGTGCAGTGGGTCTTATCTGTAATCCCAGCACTTTGGGAGGCCAAGGCAGGTGGATCACCTGAGGAGGTCAGGAGTTGAAGACCAAGCTGGCCAACATGGTGAAACCCCATCTCTACTAAAAATAGAAAAAATTAGCTGGGCATGGTGGTAGGCACCTGTAATCCCAACTATTCAGAAGACTGAGACAGTTGAATTGCTTGAACCCAGGAGGCAGCGGTTACAGTGAGCTGAGATAGTACCATTACACTCCAGCCTGGGAAACGAGCAAAACTTTGTCTCAAAATAAAAAGATAAAATATTAATAAAATATTGCTCTGAGAATGAAAACATTTTAAAAAATCTAGGCTTTCAATAGTCTTAACATTGACTTTTTATATACTAAGAACTTATGAAGTAGGATATGAAACAATCTCCTTTTCTTAAAATTTCATGAAAAATTTAACTATTTTTTCAATAAACAGAATGATAATCAAATTGAAAATTAAGTGGAAAAATAAATAAAAACCATGTATGAATAAAAAGTATTCTGAGCCGGGCACTGTGGCTCACGCCTGTAATCCCAGCACTTTGGGAGCCAAGGTGGGTGGATCAAGAGGTCAGGAGTTCGAGACGTGCCTGACCAACATGGTGAAACTCCAACTCTACTAAAAATACAAAAATTAGCCGGGCGTGATGGCGCACACCTGTAATCCCAGCTACTCAGATTCTGATCAAGTAAGAAGTCAGAGTCATAAAGCTTAGATTTAGACAGTCAAACCAGTAATACTGAATTTACTATCTTCATATTTACTAAATTAAGGAAATAAAAATCCACATTATTATAGGAGAGAGAGAGAAAGGAGGCTTCCCTTAGACTTTGCAGATCTCTTTTGAATCCTTTCATTTATTTCTCATTTTAACTTTTACCATCTCTTCTTTAAAACAGACACTGTGGTAGCCATCTGTTCTGATCACAAAGATGAGATGGTAGTCTGTAATCAGACTCATGCTTGATATGTTGTTCTTGATGCTGCCCATTTCCTGTCAGCAAAGGATATTAAAAAGTCATACAAGAAAAATCAGTCAAATGCCTTTCTCCCACAGCAGTGTCACTGGAACGGCCAGTATGGGTCATTAGTATGCTTGGCTATGTGTTTCCTTTTGTTTCTTAGCTCCCCAAATCACCCCCACATCATTACTGACACAACTGCCACTTTAAAGCATAAACCTATATACTTCCTTGAAACATGACAAATCTTTTCTCTATGTTCTGACCATAAAAGATGCAACTTACATCTTACACACCACTTATTACTGTTCTTCAAAATAGATGCCATAGTCATTGCCTTTACCAATGCTAGCTGCTTTCAGGAAGTGGGAGTCAGTGTTAAATGCTGCAGTTGGTAAATCATACTGTTGGACTCTGATGTGGCCATTCTATGTCTCAGTGCAGAAAATGTCATCCTTGCTAGGCACAGTGGCACACTCCTATAACCCCTGCTACTCAGGAGGCTCAGATGGGAGGACTGCATGAGGCCAAGTGTTTCAGACCAGCCTGGGCAACATAGCAAAGCAAGACCCTGCCTCTAAAAAAAAAAATTAACAAAAAGAAAATATCATCCTTTTGTACCAAAGCATTCAGAAGAACATCAGTTTAGAACAAACATTTCCCTTATATCCTTGGTTACTTATGGTTGGAGGTGAAATTCTTGTTATTTTCAGTACACAATAAGAAACACTTCCCAAGCATCTAATTAAAAAAAAAAAAAAAGGAACACAATCCTAGCAATTCATCAAATAGAATTATTGGCCCCATGTTTCCACACAAGGACATCCTATCATGTGTTTCCTTAATATCCCATCAAAGCATTCTGTACCACCCTTGTTCTCAACTTTTTTCACTAGAAACATACCTGGAGTAACTCCCATTAGTATTAACAACTTATTAAGAGATGGAAAAGGGGGAAAGTGTGTTCTAGAAGATAACCAACTATAAGTCCCTTGTGCCCATCCCCCTCACAAACACGGCCAGAACAATGAATAAATAACCACATTTTAATGAAAATAACTGAAGAAGAGCAGCAGAGTCTATCCATGGAGTAACAGAAACCCTGGTGAGCACAGAAACCCAGGATGGTCACATAGAGAACAGAAGGAAACACCAGGCCTCCACCATCGCATTCCCCAGCCAGATCAGATCAGCGGGGAACAAAGAAGGACCTCCTATAGCAAGGAGTTAAGCAGAGGATCCCAGCAACCCCCATTAGCACTTTAGATACCTACAGACCTCCCAGTGTTGTACCCTGCAGTCCTCATAAGCATGAAGCCCAGCTGAAGGAACTGCCTGGAGTCCACAGAGCTATGCTCTCCCCAGAAAAGGAGCCAACAATGTGCTCTGTGGCCTGTGCAGCTACTGAACTATACCATGTTGGAACTGGAACTATGGCTGGAGTGTGTCTTGCTCTGAGAGTGAGTAGCGACAGCACTCCTTCATCCCCAATGTTACCCCAACACTGCATCCTGACATCCACATGCTGAAATGCAAGCAGCTGTTACAACTTTCCCAGTGCAGCCAAATAGAGATAAAGCTACTCCACCTACCCCTTTTCCATCCCCCTCAGTCAGAGCTGAAGCCATATACTGCCTCCTAGGAAAACAGTATCTTGGCTGCTTAGAGCAGTCATGCCTCCCTAAGTTCAGTCATGCACTAGCCTAAGTTGAAGCAGCACCCAGCATCCCAGGAAATGGTGCTTTTGCTGCCCAAAGTAATCATGTGCTCTAGTACCTAAGCTAAAGCACCACCCTTTATCCCAGAGAAAAGGTGCCAGAGCCACCCAGAACAGTCCTGTCCCCAAGGCCTGAGCTGAAGCAGCACATCACCCCCTAGGCAACTGGCACCCTGGCTGAACTGAGCAGCTGGACATCCAGAGCTATGCCAATGTAGTACACCCACAACCCAGGGAAACAGAGCAGTAGCTGAGCTAAGACACCCCATCATACAAGCCAAACAACTTCATACTCTCCTTTCCTGAAACTAAACTAGCCCCCTAGTGTCTGAGCAGCTGAGAAACACCTCTTCCTAGGAAGTGCAGTCATAGCTATGCTATTTACTGTCCCCACCCTAGGCCCAAATGACAGCTGTGCTCCACCAGTCTAGGTTACTTACTGCTGCTGCACCTAGACGCACAAAGTCTGGGATTCTGCCAAGCCCCACTAGCACACGGTCTAGAGTCACTACTACACGATGCCTCATCCCCTGGGACCTAGGTTGCCACTAAGCCCTACTGGCTCAGGTTCCTGGATGGCAACCATAGCCTGCTCCCCAGGGCCAAATGTCAAGGGCATGCCTTCTTCTCTGGAATCAGGCTAGAGCTGTGCCCTGCCCCTCTGGGGCAGGATCATAGCTACAACTCAGCTACCTGAACCCCAGCTGCTAAGGGGTACCTTGGCTCTATGTACAGCCCACACCCAACCCTACCGCAGAGAAACAAGCACCCCAAGACCCAGGTGCCACAGGTTTGCAAGACCCTGAGCCTAGGACCCTGGCCCCACATCCACTTTAAACACCTGTACCAGGGAACCCAGTGCTGCAGTAGGCCTTCTTATAGGCCATGTCAGATTTGATACCCAGAGGGATCCCCCTAGGCTATGTCTTCCCATTGTGGAGAAAATAAGAATGAGGAAGACACTAAAAGCCCTTGACACTGAATATTAGCAACCTATGCCACCACCACCACTACTTCCACAAACTTCTATGGACTAGGTAGCTGAGGCACCCAGAGTTACTACTCACCCTGAATGCATCTGAAGATGCTGCATGGAAACTGTACATCATCCTTGATAGCTAGGCACAGTGGCACCCTCCTGTAATCCCTGCTACTTAGGAGGCTCACTATACCTATTGGAAAAGTCACCACATGCTTCCCAACTAGCAGACTAAAACCCAATTGCAAATGAAAGTCTTTCTCTATGGAAACCAGAAAGATTGGAAGAAAGAGTATTTCCACCAAGTGCACAAATTAATGCAGGCTCACAAGAAACACAAAAAAGCAAGCAAATATGACACCACCAAAGGAATATAATGGGTCTCTAGTAACAGACCCAAATGAAAAGAAAATCAATGATGTGCTGGAAAAGAAATGCAAAATAATTATCTGAAGGAAATTCAATGAGATATAAGAAAATATATATATAGACAATTCAACAGAATCAGGAAAACAATTCATGCTTTAAATGAGAAATTCAACAGAGATAGGAATCATAAAAAAAAAAAACAACCAGAAATCCTACAGCTATTGAATTCAATGAATGAAATAAAAAATACAATAGAGAGCTTTGACATCAGACTTTGTCAAGCAGAAGACTTTCTGAACTTGAAGATAGGTCATTTGAAATTACCCACTCAGCACCGGGTGCGGTGCCTCATGCCTGTAATCCCAGCACTTTGGGAGGCTGAGGCAGGTGAATCACCTGAGGTTGGGAGTTCGAGACCAGCCTGACCAACATGGAGAAATCCCATCTCTATTAAAAATACAAAATTAGCTGGGCGTGGTGGCACATGCCTGTAATCCCAGCTATCAGGAGGCTGAGGCAGGAGAATCACTTGAGCCTGGGAGGCAGAAGTTGCAGTGAGCCGAGATTGTACCAGTGCACTCCAGCCTGGGCAACAAGAGCAAAACTCCGTCTCAAATACACACACACACACACACACACACACACACACACACACACACACACACACACATATATATGGCTCACTCAGAAGGGGGAAAAAAAGAAATAACAATGAAAAAGAATGAAGAAAACCTGTAAGATTTATGGGACATCATTAAATCAACAAATATTTTTATCGTCAAGAATCCAGAAGAAGAGGAGAACGGAAAGAGGATAGAAAACTTATTTAACAAAATATAGCTGAAGACGTCCTAAATCTGTGGAGAGATAAAGACATCCAGATCCAGGAAATCAAAGGTCTCCAAATGTATCCAACTCAAAAGATCCTTCCTAATTTGTCAAAAGTTAAAGACAAAGAATTAAAATAACAGCAAAACAAAAGCATCAAGTCACATATAAGGAAGTCCACATTAGACTAATAGCAGATTTCTCTGCAGAAACCTTACAGGCCAGGTAAGAAGGGAATGATATATTTAAAGTGCTGAAAGAAAAAAAAATTGCCAACCAAAAATACCACATGCAGCAAAGCTATCCTTCAAGAATGAGGGAGAAATAAAGCCTTTTCCAGACAAACAGAAGCTGAACACCAGCTTGTTAGCCTTCTTTTATCTTTTCACCAGAGCAACCCAACCCCTGGACTTCCTGTATTAAGAATATAAGGTGGCTGGGCATGGTGGCTCATGCCTATAATCCCAGCACTCTGGGAGGCCAAGGCTGGAGGATTGCTTGAGCCCAGGAGTTCAAAACCAGCCTGAGAAATATAGCAAGATGCCATCTCTGCAAAAAAATTAAAATTAGCTAGGTGTGGTGGCACATGCATGTGGTCCCAGCTACTCAGGAGGCCAAGGCAGGAAGATCACTTGAGCCCAGGAGGTCAAGGCTACAGTGAACCATGATCGTGCCACTGCACTCCAGCCTGGGTGACAGACCGAGACCTTGTGTCAAAAGAAAAAATACATTTTTAAATTTTATTTAAAAGGAAAAGAACATAAAGTGGCAGTGATAGCAACAACAGAATACCAAGGATAGTCTCCATGTCCACTGTATTCTTTGCAGAACCCCTACCATCTTGTAATTTTCTGAGATGATCAGGTGACCAAGTTTGTTGTTGTTTTTTTTTATTCTATAGTTATCATGTGATGTAAAACTGGATCCTCGTCCAGAATACCATCGGTGTATACTAACTTGGCATCACCAAGAACCACTGCCTTGGGCACAGAGTACAGGTTAGTCATTCATATCTACAAATATTCCTAGGCACCTATCCTGTTAAAACACAAATTTATATATGATCTTTCTTGGTTATAACTGATTTTATAATTATTATACATTTTCCTTTTTGAAAAGTTAGATGAGTTAAATTATTCCTAAACAGTATGACAAAAGTTAAAAAATAATTATTAGAAGTTTACTTATTTTATTGACCCATATTTTCTAGGTAAACATTTAGAATGTCCACATATCATTGACTAATATCCTGTAATAAATCTAGAATTACAGAAGATTTGATATGTTTCTTCACCCCGTAAGTTCTGAGTATAACTTTGTAGGAAAAGGAGGAGATTCTAGCTATACCATCCTGAAATGTGAGGTGAAAGCCTAATTTATAATATGATTCTCTGTAGCCTCTACTATACCCTAGTTACTGGTAAATTTGAAGGGCAGAGAAATCAATATTGATCATCAGAGTTCTATAGTTACCTCTACTAGACTTAAACTGTTATTCCCAACTTTTCTAGTCATATTTTGCCTAACTTTTGATGTGACTCCAGAAGAATTGGAGTACTCTTAAACAAAGATCCTACCAAGTGAAAACATCAACATAACAGTGACAAAGTTCATGCCATCAGAGAGACCTGCATTCAGATTGGCCACCAACCTAGTTAGCAGGATCCTAGGCAAGTTACCTAAGACTTCTTTGAGTTTCATGAGAATCAAATAAGGTGCTTAAGTTAACTGCCTAATACTTTGGCAGTTAGTAAAGAAATGGTAGCTGCTACTGTTATTGTCGTCATTATTTTAATAGGCTTTTTAAAGCCTCCCTTTTCCGACATGCATAACATTTCAGCCTGAATTGAGAAATTCTGTGGCATTTTCCATAATGCTATAAAATCTTGGTTTTACTCTTTCAGGCAAAAATTTCTAATGTTTATTTTTAAAGTTTGAATGAGCAGGTGGTAGGATATAATAGCATGGCCACCTGAAAAGGGTACTGGAAAGTCTGATCATCTCTTCTCCTCTTGAAGACATGCATTTCTGTCCGTTTTCATTTTGAAAAGGTCTACAAGGCCCCAAATGTATATGCCATGATGCTTGTGCTGCTGTAGTAAGACTATTTCTTTCTAGGTAATCAAATGAGCAGCCGTCTGATGAGCATGCGCAGTGCCAATGGATTGTTGATGCTACCTCCAAAGACAGAACAGTACGTGGAGCTCCACAAAGGCGAGGTGGTGGATGTCATGGTCATTGGACGGCTATGATGGTCACCAGCAGGAGAAAGCTTTGATGCATGTCCACATATCATTGACTGTATCCTGTAATATGCAACGGCACAGCTAGTTTTCCTGATTTGGATGAAAGTTGATCTGTATAGTCAACATCTGGAACTATATTTCAAATGAATTTAAATATCTTTTAAAGAAAAAAACACCTAAAAATAAATCTTAACAGACAATTCTATTCTGATTATATCAAGGCAAATTTTTCCTTTCTTGCAAATTGCTTTGTGTGTTCAATGCTAGGTCTGATAGCGATAGCTTTTAGTAGACAGCGGTAGGTGCCTGCAGAACTTGTGTTTTTCTCATCTTTAAAATACAACTACTTATGCTCTTAAATCAAGGCTGTCTGCTTATTTATACTAGCGTAGGCAACACTTGGATTTCCCTTCTTAGTATGCTTCATAACTGCTTTACAGAGAGCTTTTGCTTGTTCCTTCTCATGTATCTCGTGTTTATGTGCACAGTGCCAAAAGAAGACTGACTGGGTGGAGGCTCTGCCTTGCCTCGAGAACCATCCCCTGCAGAGCATCCAGGGAGGTTTCTCGCCCCAATAGCCTCAATGGCACAGTACTCTTGGGCGGTAACTGGATACCTTTTATTTGAACCAACAAACTGAAGAAAAATGCTTCCTTAAGTGCTGACAGCCTTTTTAACCAATACATTTAAAATTGTACAGAACAAAAAAATAAAATCAAAGACTGATCTTGTACAGATATTAGTGTTACCAGCATTCACGTGGAAATCAAGAGCAAAGACAAAATAATGTTAAACAACTCTGTACCATAACATTTTCTGTAATGATACTGAAACTTAATGAATAAAAAAAAATTCCTTGATCATTATTTAAAAATGTATTGTATTGGCCTCATTATTAAAAAAGAGAGGAATGTCATGCCATTCTGATAGGGTTCTGCCTGGATAAAAGAAATAGCCTGGATAAAAGGAATAGTTAAGATGGCCTACCAAGGAGATTTAAAATATGGTATATTATAACTCTATATCTTATTACAATGTTTGGGAAAAAATGTGATCATAGCATTGCGATCTATAGAGTTGTGAAAATACAGATGAGAAGGTAGGAGAACCTGAAATTGGTCTGGTGTTTCCAGTCATAGATGGAGAACAGCAAGCAAATTTAGAGGAAGGATATTAATGACTTAGAAAAAAAAATTTATTTTAGATGCCATAAAAGCCAATTTTAAACATCTACCGTTCTTTGAAACAGAGAAAAAAATAATGAACCAAAAAAATTGCAGATGAGCACCTCAAAATTTTTTTTTTGAGAGGGAGTCTCTCTCTGTCGCCAGGCTGGAGTGCAGTGGCGCGATCTCAGCTCACTGCAACCTCCACCTCCCAGGTTCAAGTGATTCTCCTGCCTCAGCTTCCCAAGTAGCTGGACTACAGGCATGCACCACCACACTCAGCTAATTTTTGTATTTTTTTTTTTAGTAAAGATGGGGTTTTACCACGTTGGCCAGGATGGTCTCAATCTCTTGACCTTGTGATCCACCTGCCTCGGCCTCCCAAAGTGCTGGGATTACAGGCGTGAGCCACCGCTCCCAGCCATACCTCGAAATTTTTTAACCATGTTAGAAAGGAAATGAGAAATGGAGGAAAAAAAAAAATCTGTGCTGACCATAGAAAATACAATAAATAAAATATACTCTATCTACAATGGCTCCTTTAATAAAAAAATTAGGGGCCCTTTTCAAATGGTGGTAACAGAAGGATGTTAAATATACTGTAAAATGTGCTCAGGAAACTAAACTACAAATTTGGCCTAATAGTAAACAAAATGTTAAGGGATGGTAAATAAAGGCAAAATAGTAAACAAATATTTGATACTGATATGTGATATTTTCATTTTATATTTACAGTTGAAGAATGTAAGGTTAGTTAATAGAGGTCAAATGGAAGAGTATGCAAAGAATCCCTTTATCTACATTCGGGAAATATTTGTTAAGCATCTACTGTGTGCTTGGGTACAAAATGCATCATGCTACTATTTACAGACATTAATAGGGCAGAGTACCTAACATTATACTTCATTAGGGAGATAACAAAAATGTATGCAAATAACCATAACATTTAATATATTTGATAATATAATATAGAATGTATAGAATGTGATAAATGCCATAATACAGCTTTTAAGGGTTGGAGGAATTCAGATGAGATTTCAAGGTGTGAGATGGCATATTAGTGGGTCTTTTTATTTTTAGAGACACAGTCTCGCTCTACTGCCCAGGCTGGAGTGCAGCATCATGGTCATAGTGCACTACACCCCCAAACTCCTGGCCTCAAGTGATCTTCCTGCATTGGACTCCCAGAGTGCTGGAATTACAGGTGTGAGCCACTATGCCCGCTGACATTAGTGGTTCTTGAAGGAAGGGTAGAATTTTGAAGACGATAGCATAGGAAACAGGTATTCCAAAAACAAAGAATTAATAATAATTGTTTTATTATAGAATATACAGTCTATTTTTTTTTTTTTTTTTTTTTTTTTTGAGACGGAGTCTAACTCTATCACCAGTCTGGAGCGCAATGGCACGATCTTGGTTCACTGCAACCTCCAACTCCCTGGTTCAAGCAATTCTCCTGCCTCAGCCTCCCAAGTAGCTGGGATTACAGGCACACACCCTTATGCCCAGCCAGTTTTTGTATTTTTAGTAGAGACGGAGTTCACCACGTTGGCCAGGATGGTCTCTGGTCTCAATCTCCTGACCTCGTGATCCACCCACCTCAGCCTGCCAAAGTGCTGGGATTTACAGGTGTGAGCTACCACGCCTGACCTATATTTTTTCTTTTTTTGAGATAAGGTTTTACTCTGTCTCCCAGGCTGGAGTGCTGATCTGAGCTCACTACAGCCTTGACCTCCCTGGGCTCAAGTGATCCTTCCATCTCAGCCTCCTGAGTAGCTATGTACACGCTTTATTATGTTTTGTTTTGTTTTTTGTCTTTTACAGAGATAGGCTGGTCTCAAACTCCTGGGCTTAAGTGATCCACCCATCTCAGCCTCCCACAGTGCTGAAATTACAGGCATGAACCACCAACCTCAGACTACAGTCTATCTTCTTAAACTCTTAAGTTATAGAAACAAAATAGGTATATGATGTTTGTAAGACTGAAAAGGTACTGATTTAAGGCCCAAACTATAAAGTTCTGAAATAAGAGTCTAGATTTATTCTAGAGGCAATAAAACTATTAGAGATTCTTGATTAGGGAAGTATCATGATCAGAGACATCCTTTTAGGGAAAATGCTTTGGCAGCCTTGAGTCAGATAGACTGCAATGAAGAGAAACAAGTGAGAGACACCACTTAAGAAGTTATAGCAATTGTGCAGGTGAGGGGTAGAGGTGATGGTGACAGGATGGTCTAGACAGATGGATACATCTCTGGAGATGAAAGAATGGAAAGAATTTTATGGCTGATTTCAGGTTTTGGAAAGGAAGTAAGGGAGAGATGATTCAAAGTCTCCCCTCTTGGCTGACTGAGAAAATGTTAAACATTAACAAAAAGTAAGAAAAATTAGTTTTATGGAGGAGTTGATGAGTTTGAGCATGTGTTTGAGATGCCAGAAGTGCTAAGATAGATACGTCCCAATGGCATTTGAAACTACAGGTTAGGAGTTCACAAAAGAGTTACTGACTGGATAAACTCTGGAAATCATTCACATAAAGGTGGTATCTGAAATGCAAGCGTGGATGGAAAAGATTATCCAGAAAAGGCTTGCCAAGAGAAGAGGACAGGCCTTGGGATGTTGGAGGAAAAAGCCATGAATGGAATGAGGGGAAAATAGTTTGAAGAAGAGAAGAGAAGGGAGTGCAGGGTTTCACAATCCAAGGAGAAAAGTCTCAAGAAGGAAGGATAATCAACTGTAAATGCAAAAGAAATACCAAAAAGGATGAAAGCTCCAAAAGTCTTAATTGATTAGGCTATTATTTGTAAACTGTAAGAGTACAATTTTAGTAGTGGCTTAAGAGCAAAAGCCACACGGCAAAATAGAAACTGTGAACATGAATTCTTCAGAATCTGTGTGTGAAAAAAGACACAAAATGCTAGCATGAACTGATAACAAGGTAGAGGGAAGATTTGTTTTGTGTGTTTTGAAAAAGAAACAAGAGTGGTGGGCATATTAACAATGAAAGAAGGGCTGGATTTAAGAACCCTGGTGGCCCAATTCAGCTGGAAAAAAAAGGGACATTTTTCCTTCTGAGTTAGAAAAGGGAGAAGATATGAACACGTTTGAAGTGGATACAAAGGAAATGTCAGTTAAATGTTAAAATTCAACAAAATATCTCTACTTGGCACAGTGAACATCAATTTCATCTAATCTATTTGCATTCATTTTACTAAACTTAAGAATTAAGCATATATGACATATTACAAGTCTTTTTTATCTTAGTAGTTGATACTTACCTAAAAGCTATAGAAGATGTTTTCAGGTTTTGATTTGTAGCTGTATAAAAGTTAAGCAGTTCCTTTTTAATCAGATTTTTTGGTTCTATGGTTTGGTTGTTTCAAATCATGTCACACAATGAAAAAAGAACATATGCAGGTGAAGTTTATCAAGTAAATGCTTGGTGATGTTGCATGTTTCAGCAGGTGGATTCTTTTGGATGACTTTCATATTTAAAATTATTTGCTAACCAACAAAATTTTAAAGATCTAACCTGTTGGCTTCATGAAACCTTAACAAGTAAGTCATTATTTCCAATTATAGAAAATGGGGTAGAGGGTTATTTAAGTACAGAATTCAAAGTAAATAAACTGTATGTCTTGTTATTCCAGTGATGATGGGTCTACATTAAATAATGCATTGCATTCTAACATGTTTATAAGAAACATTATGCTTGACTCTCTGAGTTATATTGTTAGAGAATTTACCAATAAGTTGGCCTACAACCAAAAAGAAAGACTTGCTCAATCCTGTCCATTTTGTATGGCCAGTTACCAGTATTTCTCCTGCAGTCTTTTGAAATAATTCATTTTATTTAACGAGCATTTATTAAGCTCCTACAGTATGCCAGGCTCCATGTTAGGCACTGAGAATACCATGATAAATGAGACAGTCTCTGATATCTAAGTGAAGGAGAGAGATTATGAGAAAGGAAAACAATTTAAATGCAGGTTGGGAAAAGTATGTGAAAAACATTCAGTGACATGTTAGACAGTGACTGGGTGGAGGCCTAAATCAGATTCAGTGGTTGTGTCAGGATCCAGCCATTTAAAAAGAAGCAGAAATTACACTAAGTATTTGAATAGAGGGGCTTCAATGCAGGAATATGTTAAATAGGTGTGGTAGGCCTAGAAAAAAAGCAAAAAGGAAACAGATACCAGAGACAACTAGAGGAAGCAATTATCCTAGGGCTGGTGATTTGGGAGGGAAAGGTTAGGGGAATCAGAACCTTGAAGCTCAGAGGTCAGACCCTTTGGAGCTAGGATTCAGCCCTCTTAAGGAGAGGGCACTGCCCAGTTGCCGATTCTGAGAACTCCAAAAACAAAAACAAAACAACCAAAATGCAGGCTAGAACCAGTTGTTGTTGCCCGGGTGATACTGACAGAAACAGCGGGCCAACTAGAAAAAACACGATTCCCTTCTTTCCTCCTATTTTCCAAACTCCTCTGGTCTAATGCAACCTATTGCTGAACTTAACAGAAAGCCAGCTGGAGAAAGAAATGTAGTTTGCAGAGCCCCAGTGAGTCAATGCAGAGTATGCTGTGGTGCATTTGCAGCTGAGAGACAATAAATGACTGATTTAGAAACAGCTCTCTAAACAGGTGACATCTGAGCTGGGTTCTGAAAAACAAAAATAAGCCCACATGTGAAGATCTGGGAGATGAGCATT